CAGGGCATTGAGGCACTCTGAGATGAGACTGGGGATATTCACCTGTGCTGAACATGGTCAGTTCCAACATCTTCATTAGCCCTATAATAGGGGACACCAGCAAAGCTCTCTGTGACTCTGGAAGAATGTATTTAGGAAAGAAAAAATTGCCACAGAGGCAGAGAGGAGGGAGGGAAAACATGAGAAAAAGGCCTTGAAAAGCAAAGGGAGAGAAGAAAGAGGAGAAAAAGGTGCTCCGGCCAAAGGTGCAGAGATTTCTCTGGGATCTATAAGGGACAGTGGTCCCATTATTAAATACCCTTGTAAGATGGCTGAATTCTTGTATAAACTAGAACAAACTTTTTTTTTGACAGCTGAGGAAGGAGTAATAGCAGTATCCTCTGTAGCAGGGCTGCTCCTACAATTAATGTATATAGTTCCTCTGACGAAGGATTGAAAGATGAAAATAAGCTTTTAGAAGCCCATAACAGACAACTAGAAAATAAAAGTTCTTATTCTGGGAACCTAGACCAGCAGGGTTGTCATATGAGGAGTAGCCCCCTGCCCACACCACATTACATGTGACAGTGTGCCTGCACATAGCTGCCAAACCTAGGGATTTATTACAATGATTTAAAAAGAAACCACGAGAGAGCATACTAGCTTGCCTCTTAAGATTACGGGACATGAGTGGCTGAAAGTGTGGTTATTAATGGACACAAGATTTCTAAACTTGCATCAATTATCATGCATTTGGCCCACATGTGACTGTGATGCATAATGAGGAAAATCATTCTCTGATTCAATGGATAATAGCTGCACATAGGATCATGCAGCCAAATAAAAGCAGTGTCCCAGTAAAAACTCGTCCGTGGACTTCAATGGAGGAAAATCAAAATTATATCATAGAACTGGGAATGAAGGAGGCAATCCATGGTGATGCTTTTGAGAGTCCAGACCTGGTTAGTTTCTCAGCCTGGATGGAGGACCTTATCTTACAATAAGCTCCTCCCTACAAATATGTCATACTTGTGTCCATACTAAACCCTTTAGTAGCCTTGGAGGCTGATATCCAACAAGCCACCAAGTTGGTGGCTGATATAGAAGAAACAGAGTGCCCTAGGACCAGGTGCAATATCTGCAAATGGGAAGGGGCAGAGATTCTCCCTATAAAAGTACTAAAAGTAGGAGACCCGCCCCACAGACTTCTTGACTGGGACCTCTATGGGTATCCTGAAAACAGAATTTTACTGATCTAATCTGGGCTGGGGTTCAATTTGCAAAAACTGATCACCAGCCCAATCATGCTCTCCTCCAGCTATGAAGGCAGCTGGAGGAAAATAAAAAGTTTCAAAATATCCCCAAAAAAGTAGGGGTAAGAAATACTGAAAAAATACCAATGAGGACATGGAACTTGGAAGATTTCATAGATCCTAACAAAAGGAAAAAGCCTCCTCAAGTGACCTGGGCCACTATGTCTGAGCCAACTGAGAAAAAAGAATTGTTGATTCTGAAGTTACTTGCATGACAGAGGATGCCAGCTCCCTTGAACCTAAGGACTCCAGAAGAGACCAAAGGCCCTATATTGAACTATTTTTTTTGGTCCTGGAAGAACATACAGTGAGTTATGGCGTTAGTAGACACAGCGCAGAAACCTCAATTATTTATGGTGATCCAACTAAATTCCATGGAGGTAATGTGATGATTGGTGTGTCTGGGGGACAGACCAGTCTTGTAACCTAGACATGGCTGAAGCTGGGGGTTGGGCATCTACCACCATGGGAGTATAAGTTGTCTATTCCCCCAGTTCTGGTGTACTTACTGGGCATAGATACACTATGGAGTCTCTCTCTCCAGATGACTGTGGGAGAGTTCAGACTAAGAAAGAGATGCATTAGTATCTGGGCAGTGCAGTTGATATTCAGAGACCATGTGAAGCACAAGCCTATTCACCTCAGGTCCATACTGGATTACTAATACTAAACAATATAGGCTCTCAGGGAAGCAGGAGAGAAATCTCCAGAGCGGTGCGGGAGCTAGAAAAAGTAGGATTGATAAGACCTGCACATAGCCTGTATAATTCCCTCATATAGCTAGTATGAAAGTCAGACAACATGTGGAGAATGACAGTGGATTACAAAGAATTAAATAAAGTCATGCTGCCCATTCATGCAGCCATCCTCAATATTGCCTCCCTGATGGATACACTGAGTAGGGAAATAGAAACCTACCATTGTGTCCTAGACTTGGGAAATGCATTCTTCAGTATTTCCATCCATGAAGAATTGCAACACCAATTTGCATCGATGTGGGGAGGCAGGCAGTGGACCTTTCAGGTCCTGCTGCAAGGGTATGTGCACTCACCTACTTATCATCATAACTTAGTGGCACATGACCTAGCAGACTGGAATAATCCCAATAACCTCAAACTGTACCACTATCTTGATGATCTCATGTTGACGTCTGGAGGCATTAGGAAAGGCAGTAGGTTCATTGATTACTCATCTACAAGAGAAAGGGTGGGCTATAAACCCACAGAAGGTGCAAAGACCAGGCCTGTTGGTGAAATTCCTGGGTGTAGTTTGGTCAGGGAAGACCAAAGCACTACCCACTGAGATAATAGGCAAGGTCCAAGTGCTCACAGTCCTGACTGCACCAAGCCAGCTTCAAGAGTTTTGGGGTATACTGGGATACTGGCATTACTTTATATTCCACTTAATGCAGCTGCTGAGGCCTTTATATCTATTCACAAAGAAAGATAAAAAACAGGACTGGGAGAGAATAGAACAAGAGGCATTCCAGCAAGCAAAACTAGCAAAACTGTTAAACTAGCCTAGGCTCTTTGGTGATTTTCCTCCTCTGCTCTACCCTTGTGAGGCCCCATCTGGAGAACTACATCCAGGTCTGGTGTCCCAGCACAGGAAAAATGTCAAGCTTTTGGAGAAAGCCCAGAGGAGAGCTACAGAGATAACCAGAGGGTTGGAGCACCTCTCCGATGATGACAGGCTGAAGGAGCAGTGCTTGTTCAGTCTGGAGAAGAGAAGGCTTTGGGGTGATCTCATTATGGCCTTCTAAAATTAAAAAGGGAGATTAGTTTATAAATAGGAGGGAAATAAATATTTTACGCAGATAAATAGTAGTAGGAAAAAGGGGAATGGTTTAAAACAAAGGGAGGGAAGATTTGGGTTAGATGTCAGGGGAAAGTTTTTCACTGAGAGGTGAGTGGAGATGTGCTGAAACACATTGGCTAGAGGGATTGTGGATGCCCTATCCCTGAAGGTGTTCAAGGCCATGTTGGATGAGGGCCTGGTATATTAGTTCCAGTTGAAAGAAAGATGTTTTCTTCAGAGTGTCTGATATGATGCCAGGTGTTTTGATTCTATGAGAAAAACAATGCTGATGTTTATTGTTACTGCTAAGCAGTGTTGTACAGAACCAAGGCCACTCTCAGCAAAGGGCCTAAGAAGCTGGGAGGGAACAGCACTGGGATAGCTGACTTAACTGTCCAAATACACATTGTGTACCATAAAATATCATGCAGAAGTTTTGAAAGGGGTGGGAATTCATCTTGCTCTCTTCCATTGCTTCAGGGGCTAGCTGGGCACTGATTGGGGTGGTGACCAATTGCTTCTGCATTATTTATTGTGTGCATTCATAAATATATATGTACAGTCATAACTATTATCCTTTTTCTTTTCTCTATTTTAATAGAGATAAATTATATTTTAATATATTATATTATTAATATGCATTATATATATTATATTATATTGTATAAATAAATATAATATATAATAAATTATATAATATAATATAATATATATTATATTAATATATTATATTTTAATAAATAGTTTTATCTCAACCCATGAGTTCTACTCTGTTTTTATCAATTATCTCTCCCATCCCACTGGGATTCTATGCTCCTATGATCATGTCTTCAGTCTAATTCTACATCTCAGAAAATTCTCTAAAGTGATTAGAGTATATATTCTATTCCTGCTTGTACTTTAGGAAAGGTTTTTATGAAGTTGTTATAGTTCTCTATTTTAATTTTTATATAGGTAAATCATATCTTGAAAATGGTTTATTTGAAAATATTAAGCTCAGTTCTTATCCAATACAAATTCATTTAAATTCCAAACAAAATCTGGGCTAACTCCAGTGTAAATGAAATACTCATCCATGGGATTGCAATGGTGCTTCATTGAAATACAAACAGCAATGGGCTCAGAATCTTTAGTTAACTTGTTAAGTTTTAGTTTATCTTAAAGTAACTACCTTATTATTTTATATAGGAGATAGGATTCTCTCCTCTTAAATCTATTTTCATACCTCTTCTTAGATGAGATGGACTTGAGTTTGGGAAAAGTAAAAGTATACAATATTTTACTGATCACAGTTACTTTAAATTATTCAATAATGAGGGAGAAGAAGAAAACAAAGTTGGCTGCAAAAGTTAAAGAGGGTGTTTGCCTTTGTAATTCCTCTGTTCTATAATCCAAGTACTCAAAGAATGATTAGGATATCACTGCAAGAATTAATTTACAGGCCACATATAGTTAATAAAGCCATTAGACAGAAAATCTGGGTCCAGTGATAGCATTTTTTTCATGATTTCTCCTGAAGTTTTGCAAGAAGCAATTTAAAACGAATGATTGAACCTTACTCTGACTGAAAGTAAATTAAAGTGAATTTTAGGTTCTAATCCTGACATGATGAAATGTGGATATACCTGGTTGCATTTTTTTGCAAATATTATAACCTAGTTACACGTTTTTTCCTGATTTCTCAAGTATTTTCTGTATAGTCTTTCTTAAACTTTTACCATGTTTCTTCCTCAATGTAATGTCTGCTTTAAAATATCAGACTAAATTTTTCTAAGTCTTATAATCAACTTCAGTTCTAGAACAGGAGAAGGGAAAGTAAGAACGTTATTCACTGATAGATCTTATGGACTTTAATATTTTCTTTTCCACAGTTCCATAATGGCTATTTTTTTTTGTCACAGGATGGAGAAGACAAATTGACTTGGAATGATCGTATGCCTGGATATGCAGCAAATTTTGGATTGATTTTATTTATGGTAATATAATCTATTTCTCCAAACTTATTAGGTGTGAGGAACTTAGTGATGAGTATCTTGGATGGAAACCTGATTAATACTCTCAAAGATGCTAAAATATACAGATAGCTAGGGTAATGACCTACAGTTGATGAGAAATACATGTCCTACGAGGAAGATTCATAGAGCTTAAAATATGTCTTCAGCTTTATCCACTTTTTTGTTTTTGTGAAATTAATCCATCAATATGGTTTGATTGAAGTGGTTGCAATCCTTACTGAGTTCTTAAGATGCTTGTCTTTTTTTTTTTTTTAATGAAATTTTGCTCTTCCTGTGCTTCATCCTTGAAAATAGTTGTTTGTGAATATTGCTGATAAGTGATGACATAAATGAAGTGCAATTGAGAATCAAGGGATATTTTTCTCTAGTAAGATAGTCCTCATAAAAGTCTAGTAAAGAGACATGATCAAATTTTGAGTTGAATATTTGTTTGTAACTACACATTCCATTTAAAGATTCACAGGTAATATATTTATGTGACTGAAAATGGAGTTGCAAATATATGAAAAAATGGATGTATTTTTTCAGCATTCTTGAAACCTGTTCTGTATCATAATGGAAAGTAAGGCTGATTATTTTTTACTGTTCATAGTGCTATGTTTAGTCAGATTATGAAAATGCTTGAAGTTATTTGCCATAACTTGAGTTACCACCACACTGTGACCTCCATGTGTCCTGGTTTCAGCTTGTACAGTGCTGATCATGCATCAGTGTTTGGTTGTTGCTGATCTGTCAGTGTTGCTGACAAATGGGGGAATGCCTTCTCTCAGTGGGGTGGAGTCACTGCCATGATGACATAGTGGCAGGGAGCTGACTACAGTACAACAGCACAGGCTGTGCTGGCCTCTTGCAGCATGCAGGCCATGGATGTTGTGTTCTGTTCTTCTCTTTCCCAAATTTATATAGTGGAGTTTCCCTGAAAATTCTAATCCCGAAAGCTGCTAGCAATTTTCTTATTGCAAGCTTTTTCTCTTTATTTCTCATTTTCAAGCAGAATCCCCTTTCAAGCAGAATGGTGTTTTTTTCTTTCCTGGCCTTTCTCTTCTTTACTAAGTGTACTGGTTTTCTTGTTCAGTTAGTCGTTACACCTGGTTTATAGTTTTATGCCACCAAATAATTCCAATGTTTCCAATTCCAGTTTTACAGGTGCTTTAAAATCTGATCAAAGCTCTTCTGTTTACGTAAAGCCTCTACCTGATTATAGAGGGCACAAGATCCAAACTTGATTAAAGCAGTGCCTTTTGAGAGGATTTTTGAAATAAGTTCACAAATCTTATTTTTGATCAATAAGATTAGTGGTAGGAGGAGGTCTAGCCCCAGTTGTCCTATACCATTTTTGCTTGTATGTCATTAGTAATAACATGTCACAATTCATAAACTTTGCACTTAGAAAGTATATGCTGCAGCAAAGATTTCTAATGTAGTTATTACATTCTCAGTATCTGCTGCAAGAGAGTAGTCTGGCATCACCTTTCTTTCTGTTACATGTGCTTGACTCAAACAGAAGTAGAAAACCAATTATTGTAATGGCAGAAGAGTCCAGTCTGTTCCTTCTTTTGAATACTACTGCCCTATTACTGCTCACATGGCATAATACTTGACTCTGGAATAGTTCCACTGGAGAACTGTTCGGACATTAAAATGTTATCTTACTTGGAGGAAGGTATCACTTTAGCCCAGAAAGTTTTGTGCCACGATGATACTTCATCCTCCAATAATATTTTGTTTAAATCTTTTGGTCAAGTTTAAGATTCTGGTATTTGTCTTCCATTAGATGAAATTTCCTCTTTCTCTGTTTAGTGATGACTATTCTTATAATGACTGTTCTTCCTGAGCTGTAAAGCTATTATTTATAAGTAGGTGCTCGTGATGGAGTTAGCTGTCTGTGGAGGTCCAGATTGCTCATTGGCTCCAGAATGATGCATACAAACTTACTTCACTGGTTTTGCTTGCCCATCACAAGAGTAAAAATGTTAAAGAAATAAAGAAATACACAGGAAAAATAGGCAGAAAAAAGAATACTTGGAAGGTGATGAAGGGGAAGGAGACTATGATCCAAAGTAAGAAAAATAAAAGCTTCAAGTGACTCTAGAGATGCAAGGTGAATTAGATTACCACAATGTAGTTTTGTTTTACTTTGTCTTATTATCAAGAATAATCTCTCCATGTGGCAATTGGTAGTGGGCAAGTTCAATGGCCAAGTTACATAGTTCTGATCTTTGTGTTCCTGTCATAGTAAGAGCTGTGCATATTGTGTACTTGCATGCTTGGCAGAAAAATCAAAAGAACAACAACAAAAAAGTCAACATAATGAAAACTAAAAGAAAAGGAAAGAAACTTTCATTCAGAATATTGTATATTGAGATTCTTATTCTTTAGACTAAGATTTGAATGAAAAATATTATCATGAAGAAAAAATTTTAAGTCATCTGTATTTAATTTAACATTAATGAATGATTCCTTTAAATAAATAAAACACAACATATTTATAAATTTAACATTTTATCACAGTTTTCTCAGAAAAACTGTTTTGAATTCTGCCTGATATCTTCACGTTTTTGTTCACTTCATAATGAATACTATTATGCAAAATTTGCCTAGCTTTTCTCTGCAACCTGTAAAAACTAGCTCTTAATCCTGTTCTGGTTCTTTTGATCTAGTACTATTCATGAGTCAGTCTTTCTCTGTATGCAGAGAATCACAGAATCATAGAATTGCTCAGGTTGGAGAAGACCTTCAAGAGCAAATCCAACTGCAGCCTAACCATACTACCCTAACAGCCCTCTGTTAAATCATGTCCCTGAGCATCACATCCAAACGGTTTTCAGACACATCCAGTGATGGTGACTCAACCACCTCCCTGGGGAGCCTATTCCCCAATTAGTGCTAAACCAATTCAGATTCAATAAAGTTTTACCGAGTTATTAAAATTAATAGATAAATTTTGCTGAACTTGTGCTTTGAACCTTGGCTCCTAGGCCCACTGAAATAATTACAATAGTCTGATCATTCATATTTAAGCAGTCTTTTTTTTCTGAGGATCTTAAGATGTTTTACATATAATAACGAATACCCACTAGAAAGGCAAAAACGGAAAGGGAAAATATATCTTCCCTCTCTTTCTTGATATGACTATGAATATTGGCTATTTTTTAATTGTTATTGTTTTAAATTGATCTTTTCTTGTGGGTTTTGGAGATTTTCTTCAACTGGTACAACACAGGCTTGTGAAAATCAAATTCTTCTTGTGAGAATTCGACTTTTAGTCGAAGTGCTAAATTTTCTCATCTCATGGGTCAGAGTCAGCCCCTGAAGAATCTCAGGATAACAGCTGATTTTTAGGACAGAAATGTGAGATGAATCTCTAACTGTGTTTTATCTTAAAAATAATAGTAGGGGAAATATATGTTTTAATTTGTAGCAATAGAATTGCTATCATAAAGTAGCACTTCTGCAGGACCTCCTTCCCTGGCTTCACATATATGTAGGTCCTTCATTCCAAACCACCAGAACCTATTGGCAGGAAAAAGATTTTTTAATACTGTTAATATCTGCATTTAAACCTGAACCATCTCAGTTTCACCAGCACAGAGTGGATAATTTCTGGAGCTTTAATCTCAGAGGACATGCACTATTTTAGGAATTGTTGTGTTAGCTTATAATTCTGCATCCATTTTTTTTATTATGTCCCTATTAGTTTTGAATTCTCAAATTTTAGTTTAATTATACCTTTATTATTGTATCACTTGAAGAAATAACCACAGAGTTCTAAGTCATAGAACAAACTAAACATATAATTCAGTGCTTCTGTTTAAAAGCAAGTATCATAATTAAACTAACATCTGTATATTTCTTTACAGATTACACTGACATTTTCTGCTGTATTTGGTGTGATCGTATACCGCATTACTACATCAGCAGCTTTGTCATTCAGCACAAATGAGACAACCAGGTCAAATGTTCGAGTGACTGTGACTGCGACTGCTGTCATCATTAATCTCATTGTCATACTTATACTTGATGAAATTTATGGAGCTGTTGCCAAATGGCTGACAGAAATTGGTAAAGCTAACTCACCATATTCCTCGTAATCTAGCAGATTTACATAAATTAGCTCTGTTATAGTTTAATGAAGCTCATACAATCATTCAGGCCAAAACTGTATCCAGATTTCCAGCTTTCATATAACTGAAAAGTTACAAACTGTGCATGATCTGAGTAATTTTGTCAACTGCATCTGCCTTGACAAGAAATGGCACAGTTTTTAGGGCATGACATTGCTGTGTGGAAAGAGTAAAAAGAAAAGAAGTTGAGGCTTCTCCTACTGTCAGGTTCCAGACAAAAGCTGGGAAATCTGTTGTGTATGTGGGGCAAGTGCAGAAGGAAATCATCAGCCTTGAGAAAGTGTACAGCTCTGAATCGTGAGAGAAAGAAGAATTTCTTTCTTGCTTTCAGATAATTCTCCCTATCACTTTACATTTCTTTCTAATCTTGGTAGCTTTATTCAACTAGCATTCCTAATTAACCACAAGGTGTTTTGTTTAAGAAGGATCCAGTGAGTAAACAAACATCTATCATTACATATTACCTATGTTAGAAAATTCATTCAGTCAACTTTCTCCAGTGCATGTCTCAAATGCCAACTGTAATCAAAAATTTTTTTTTAAAGACAATTCATTAATGGTGATAAATGTTTACATTATGAACTTTCATTGTGCTGCACAGAGCAAGACATGCTTAATTTTCTTTTTACACTGCAGCTAACATAAAAACTTCTTGGGTAAGAGGAATAGCTCTTAACAACATAGGGTTCTATTGCAACACCAAACGTTGTCAGTGTTTTGGGTGAAAAATTAAGTACATCTGTTAGCACAAGAATAGTACCACTGATTGCATTCTTCATAAGATCAAAATAATTCATCTGCTTCTGTACACAGCAAAGCAAGGCAATGACACCTCTTTCTTCCAGATCATAACAGCAGAAGTGCAGATTATATCCTCATATTGTAAAGTTAACATGTTACCTTCATTAAGCACATAATGACAGACTTGATTTAGAACTCATTTGCTCACTCTGAATTTCAATAAGATTAAAAAAGGATTAGTCAAATGGAGACAAATTTAAAGCTTCTTGTGTTTGTGACTTACAAAGGCAGTAATGTATTTGGTGAGCTAAGGCCCACACCAGATGTCTGTGCTCATTCTTCACCTGGAAAGTTTCAGATACCTTTTTTTTTTTTTTTTTTTTGTTTTTTGTGTGTGTGTGTGTGTGTAACGTGCTGCACAACCATTTATTATGAGTATATTGGGTTTGTTTGGAGAATTTTCTCTCTTCCTAATGCATCTATTCCAGCTTAACCCATTTATTGCATAATAGGCTCTTTTAACTATAGGGTAAATTCTGTGCATACTTCTAATAGTAACAACATATCTGAAAGTGGGGAGGGAGTAAGGAACTGAATGAGTCTCTGGAACCATATATGGTGTGCAAATTTTTGTTCAATGGCTCATCTCATCTTTGTGAGAGTTCTGCACAAGCCAAAAGCCAGAGTTTCTCTCCCTCAGTTTAAAAACTGCAGTGCTGTTACTGGATATTCCTGTTGCCCTGAGCAGTTCTATGGATCTATCCATCTTATGGCATCATCCACAAATTTTTCAAATTGTTTGAAAACTTAATTTGGGTTTTCTATACAAATAGATAAAGGGTAGCTCATCATACCACATGCTGAGTTTTTATGAGAATATGGTTGAAAAGGTCACAACATCAGGCTGTGGGACTCATAAGCATTTTGTTATTTCTTTAGTATTCAAATAAATGTTTCTTTCTCCCTTTTTAAAAGAAATCAAATATAAATAAATAAATAAAAACTAATTGCACAAGCATAGCACTATTTTTAATGAAATTCTTAAGCTAGAGCTCTGGATTTGTCTCATCAATTCTGCTACAGAATTTCAGTTAAGAACTTAGCATAGTAAAATTATCTCCTCTCACATTAATTGAAAGCTCACAATGAGCATAGCAGTACAAAATCTAACTCAGGTATAATCTTTAAATGAATATCTCATTATAGAAAAAAGGCATAAACATATTTTTGTGAAAGAAAATCTATGTGCTTTGTTTTCATCATTCATGAATTGAAAGTATTAATGCTTTCTTCAACTCTTTAACTGATATATGCATTAATATATGAAGGTTGCTCCAAAGTAATGCCTCTTATTTTATTAGATTGGTCCATGACATCTGAGGCGGACGTTAATGGTGTGACAGCAGATTTTGAACCTCCCAACAGTATTCTGATATATATTTTGTCAATGTGTGACTGATGGCAGCAGAAAAGGGCAATTGGACAAAATGTTGGCTGACATAGAAGGGTGAAGGAAAAGTGTGCAACTGAATTCCTCCATGGAAAAAGTTGCATCCATTCACATTCAGCAGCACTTACCAACTGTTTATGAAGAGCAAACAGTGGATGTCAGCGCAGCGAAATTTGGATGACATAGTCAACATTTTCCTAGAAGCTATGCCATCATAACATCTGTGAAACAATGGGTCATCACCTCAGGTGCAGATTTTTATGACAGCCAAAAATACATAGCTAAAATGACTATATTGAAAAATAGAGTTTTGCAGCTGAGAATCTACTCTATAAAACAGTGTTGTGTTTTTTGTATCTGTTGTAGTTTCTACTGAAATAAATAGGAGGTATTACTTTTGGAGTTCCCTACACACACACATTTTACATATATATGTACATGTACATTAAGTTGAATAACAAGAACTAATTCTTTTTTTTTTTTCTTTAGACTCTAGATAGCTAGTAGAACTGTGTAAATAGAAGTTGTATCTTTATCATGTTTATATATCTTTATCATTTTCTCCTCCCTCCCTCCATTTTATTGCTGTTTTTTACCAATATACACCTTATATTAATAAAATATATTTAATACTATTATATATTTAATCATAAATGTCAGAGTGCTTGAAGGTCTTAGCTAAGATTTCACAGACATGTCCTGAAGCAGAGGAAGCTGATGTGGTCTGCCTAGATTTATCACAGCACAGTTAAAAAGATGAGAAAACAACTGAGGTATTGTCAGATTCAGGCAAGCTATCAGGATTTGTTGGTTTTGATACTACTGTACTGCATAGACAACCTTAAGCAACTTGAAATCAAGTTTATTATGTTGTCATCATTAAAGTTTCTACCAAAGCATCTTTAATTTCCATCTGGAAGATTGGAAAGACTCTCTGGAAATCCAGAGTCAGATGGTGAAGGAGTTAAAGTGCTTTAAAAGAAATTAAAATGATGAAATAAAAAAACAGTGTGAATCTGAAGTTTGTAGTTTAGTATTGTATTTGGGGATATCATGGATGTTTACATATTTACTAACTGATTAATTAATTTCTCTGGTTTGCTGCTTTCTTTTTTTTTTTTAATTTTTTTTTTTCTTTCTTTCTTTCTTTCTTTCTTTTTTTTTTTTTTTTTTTTTTTTTCTTTTTTAACTTCTCCAGAGATGCCAAAAACAGAGAAAACTTTTGAGGAGAGACTGATTTTGAAGGCATTCCTATTGAAGTTTGTGAATTCATATGCACCAATTTTTTATGTTGCCTTTTTTAAAGGAAGGTAGGACAAATGTCTTTTGTGTATTTATATATGGATAGATGGATAGAAAGATGTGCATACAGACATGAACACAGATTTGGATTTGTGTTCAAAAATACAAAGACCCACCTAACTAATTTTGATTTGGGCCACCCTCACCAATTATAACAAAAATTGTCTAAGCCTACCTCTTGAATGAGAGGGCCTGACGTTAAGTGCTACTTTAACTGCTGTTCATTTTCTTCAAAGTAGAGCATTGTTCTGAAATGCAGTTGTTTTAGTTTTCGTACTAAGAATAACCCACAGCTTAGAAACTAATTTCTTTCAGTGTAAAAATGGGGGTCTGTGAATGAATGTTAATTCTCACTTGTGTTCACTTTTCAACTTTTGGAAATTTTTTCATGAACCACTGTGTTCCAGTTTGGTTTAAAATTTTGGATCTATTTTCCCTATTACTTTCTTCACATTTTGCACTATTAACCCAAGTTAAATTACAACATAGTCAACTGGAAGTTGAATATTTTGGCAAATAAACTGATTGACCAAAAAACTAATTCAGCTCTTCTGCTAAATGAAGTGTTACTTCCTATGGGTCTAGGATCATTTTCCTTTGGGATGCAATTATTCACAGCATTTCACATGCTTTTGAATGGGAAACTTAAAATAACTGTTTGCTAAAACTTCAGCAAAAGTATGAAAAGCATCATCTGAATTCTACTTTGTATCAATTTACATTCCTTTTGGGGGCTCTAAAGTTAGTTAATCTATATTGTTCACTAATCCTATGCAGCATCATTCATTTAAAAATCAATGATAAAATTTACCAGAAGATGTAAATATTATAAAACATTAATGAAAAATATTTCTGACTTCTCTCTTTTCTAACCATTTTTTGGTGTCATATGGTCATAATAAAGTCGATTTCATTGTTTCTCCGAATTCAGTGAAAAGAACATTGACCCAATTTAGTCAGAAGAACCTTGATTATTCATAGATGTGTAATAATGTCCTCCTTTCAGGGCATTACTCAGATGCCAAGAGCATGTGATTTAGAATACATATTTCCAGTTTCATCTGTGATCTCCAATCAAGGCAGAGAGAATTTTGTTCTTAGCACAGAAAAATATTCTAGTAGAATTATTTTGTCAATATGTAGTAGGAAAAGTGTATAGGTATAACACTTTGAAAAAAAATTCAAATAATTGAAGTTTTCAGTCTTTTACATTTCATTAATTGAAGCATCCAGTTCTGAAGTGTTTTAGCTATTATGAAATAACAGTTATGTTGCTGAAGTTAACTTTTTATTTCTTTATTTTATATTGTCATCACTTTCAGATTTGTTGGCCGTCCTGGTCATTATGTGTATGTGTTTGATGGTTACCGAATGGAAGAAGTAAGTACACAAGAAACTGAAAAAAGAAATAATTGAAGCAGGTGCATTTACAGTGCTTCAGTGGAATCCAGACAGTGAGGGAAAAATAGAACACTTACTGAGAACTAGTTTATCAATTTGTTAAAACTTCAACATAAATGAATATACCCCCAGTTTTCCCTCTGTCAGTTGTATGTTGTCTTTTTCTGCAGTTTTGACATCCTTCTTAGGTGAGGCTTCACAATTTATCTGTTTTACAGTCACTAAGATGCAAACGTTATATGATGTCATGAAGACCCTTCCAAAGCCTGTGGTCGTACTAGCCTGGGTTCTTATTCCATAAATTACCAGAAACCTAGTGATTTTAATAGCCTAAAACAACGGCCATTTAGTACAAATCCATAAAACTTTCCCCAAACTTTCCTTTAGTACTGCTGTGAGTATCCCCTTGAAAGGCAACAGACATACCCAGGGTTTTATTGCAGAGTTTATGCATAAGCCTTTGAAAGATTGAAGATTTCCTCTTCCCTTGGGTGACATCAGGTTGGAAGAGTATTGGTGATACTGCATTATGGTTATTACATTGATTATACAGTAAATATTTGAAAAGCAAATATGTAGCCCAGGGGCACAATTAACTATTTCACTGCTTTGCGTATTTTCTGTAATGTGGTTTTATGAGTAGAGTTAAAATACCTTGTTAAGGATAGATTGCATTGATGAATGAGTTCTGCACATGTGCAGAAATTTGTGCAGGTTTAGAGGGGGCTCATATGGACTCTCCTAAGTGGATACTTTTAAATTAATTGTCTTATTTCCTTCACACTCTACATTTTTGTTTAATTACAGTGTGCTCCAGGAGGCTGTTTGATGGAACTCTGTATTCAGCTTAGCATCATTATGCTTGGAAAACAATTGATTCAAAACAATCTGTTTGAAATTGGAATCCCGTGCGTATCCCAGCATTATCTGTTTCCACACTTTATTCCTATGACACAGTAAATTACAGGCTTGATCTTTATTCAGCTGAGTGGGTGTTTTACCACTGACTTCAGTGGTTTCTAATTGAATGTGATGATAAATCATATTTCGATTGTGATGGAATGACTATATTTTATGTTGAATGATTGGCTATATTTGCAGTAAATGTCTGAAAGAAAATGATTGAATATACTACATAATTTATCTAAATTCATCTTAGAAACCTGGGAAAACAGAGAAGGCATGATAGATCACTTGTGAGTTTTTAGAGAAGCTTTCATGGTAGCAGCACTGAATACAAATTAGTATAAGGTAGAGGAGAAATGGTCTGGAGAAAAGCAAGTTTCTAAAAGGTATTAAAATATATTACTTGATCTATGACTGTTTTAAAGGTTTACATGTGAAGTCCACACACTTCTAATTTGCCTCTATGTCCCTGTGAATGACAGAGGAGGCAGAGAATATGGGAGATAACACTGTGCTATTCAGCAGCTAACTAAAACATGGTGCTCCCTGCACAGTGTCATGTGCTCCAAACACAATGTGAAATCTCTCTTTGTGTGTCTGCAGTGCCAAGGGGATCTTCAGGTAGGAAAATCCACTGAGAATGTCCTGCTCCTGCCTCTTAAGCGGTTTTGTTTCTGTTAAGTGCATCATCCCTATTGATGGCAGTGCTCTGTGAATTGTATTAGGTGAAGAGTCTGGCTTAGGTACATACCTCAGCCCCAGTGAAGTTAGACTATTTTCATTAGTTTACATAGCTGTTGAATCACATCACTACTTGTCTCGCTCCAATTTATAGGAGGGAGAGGAGTTTCTTTTATTATCTATATACCCGGCGTGAGATTAAGAAGCAACGGTTCAAATGTTGGTCCAACCAGTTTATTACAAATCTTAATCAGGGGAAATGGGGAAGGGGAGAACGGACACTATTATGAATTAGGGTAATGGGGGAAGGGAAGGAGGGCAATAGAAAAGATAGAAAAGAAGAAGCAAGGGGTCTTTATAGGCAGCAAGAGGGAGATAGTCACCACCATGGATCCAGCGTGGTTCATAGTTCAGTCTTTGATCTTCAGTAGCGGTGGGTCGTCAGGCAGAGTTGTCCTGTTGCCAATGACGACCATGGTGATGATGGCCCTTTTTCAATGCTTCAAAGTGGTTGAGTCAGCTGTTTTTGGAGTGACAGCACAAATCCAAAGTGGTCGAATCAGCTCTCCTTTGAGTGACAGCTCAAACCCAAGGTGGTTGAGTCAGTTCTCCTTGCAGTGGCAGCTTCTGGCTCTGGGATCTCAGCAGGAATCTCCTTTGTTCTTATCTTTCTGGCCTTGCCAGCAAATAAGAGGAAGCAGGGAGGCACCAACTTGCATCTTGCCTTCGCAAGATACAATGGTATCATCCCCCAGCCTTCCATACTTAGCTGGAGCGGTTTGGCCACAGGCCAGATCTTCCACCAGTGAACACTGCTGAGCACTCTCTTCCGCTCTTCTACAGAGCAAGCAGCTCTGGGGGAAGGGGCTTGCAAATGTTCCCAAAGCAATATCGATTGTCACACAGTTAGCACCCATCAGTTGCCTCCTTGACAAGTCACTCAGAGTCTTATCACAAGAAAAACCTCAGGAAGCAAGCTTTGAGCCAAAAAAAAAATAAGAAGGATTCTCACACTACTGAAGGCATTGATGATACTAATGAGACACCAAAATGAGTGATGCTTAGAAGGTTATGAACTACTTAAAAAGTGAGCCCTTTACCTCCCCTTTCCTGTCAAGATAGTTTAACAGTAATTTAAATGTAGAGAAAAACTTCCCAAACAAATCAAATATGCATTATGGATGGTTTATTTATTCTTGCATCAAAGTTCACAAGGAACGCCTGTTTTCTGTCTACACCTCATTGAGTTTGCGGTTTATTTTGATAAAAGAGTGGCAAGTTGTTCCCAAAATATCTGACATGTTGAAGGCTTAAAAAATCCTCAGTGTAAACCTGGTGTGATGTTTTTTCCGCAAAAAACTTACTTGACTGGACTTTTCTAATGAGAATTTTATGATGTTAAAAATACTGTATTTATTATCTTTGATTCATGAAAACAGAGGCTGATTCAGTCAAAACAGAATACTATTGTCAAACTGTTTCTCAATTCCAAGACTACATCTGTTAGTGGAAATTTCATCCCATTTTTCTCTGCTTTCTGCTTTCTCACTGCTGACTCCAACTTATAGTGACCTCTTTTTTTAAAAAAAAACTGAGTAGGAGTTTAAAAACAGTCGTGCTTTCATCCTCTCCTTCCCAGCTAAATACTTCATTTCAGTCACCTTGTCATCATGAAATAAACACATCTGGTTTTCCTTTGCTGCTCTGTATTCTCATGCAAATCAAAATCAATATATATCTATATATCTTATCACTGGAATTATTTACAACAGGGGGAGCGCTGTGCTTTACTGAGCAATTGAGCTCATTAAATTAACAATTCATTTCTGCTTGGGTTGGAAGGGACCTTAACAACTTCACCAACTGCCAGATTGAGTCCTAGACCAGGACTGGGGCTGCCCAGGGCCCCATGCAACCTGGACTTAAACACCCCCAGAGATGGGGCATCCACAACCCCTCTGGGCAACCTGTTCCAGCACCTTACCACTCTCTCTGTAAAAAACTTCCCCCTGACACCTAATCTAAGTCTTCCTTCCTTTAATTTAAAACAAATCTCCCTTGTTCTATCACTATCTACCTATGTAAAAAGTTGATTTCCCTCACGTTTATAAACTCCCTTTAAACACTGGAAGGCTGCAGTGAATTCCCCTGCAGCCTTTTCTTTTCCCAGCTAAAGAAGACAAATTCCTTTAGCCTGTCTTTGTAGGAGAGGTGCTCCAGCACCTCTTTGGATCCTCTTTATTGCTCTTCTTGGACCCTCTCCAAAAGTTCCACATCTTTCCTGTTTTGGAGGCCCCAGATGTAGACACAGTACTCCAGCTGGAGCCTCACCAAGGCTGCAAGGGGCATAATTACTTCACTTGCCCTGCAGGCCACTCCTCTTCTGATGGAACCCAGGACAACATTGGCTTTCTGGGCTGCAAGTGCACACTGCTGGCTCATGATATCTTTTTCATCAACCAAGACTCCTAAGTCCTTCTCTGCAGGGCGGCTGAGGATTTTTTCTCCTGGTTTGTATACGTATCTGGTATTACCTAAACCCAGATGCAAAACCTTGCACTTTACTTCATTGAACCTCATTATGTTCACAAGGTCCCTCTGGATGACATCCTTTCCTTCTGCTGTATCAACTACACTACTCAGCTTCATCAGCAAACTTGCCAAGGGTGCGCTCAGTCACTGTCCTGCACTCAAAAACACTCAGAGACACACTTTCAGTATGGATGAGACAGATTTTCAGAGGGCTGGCCACAAAGATGCTAGGCACATATGAATACAGACCAATAGGAACTCCAGACATGCTTATCTGTTGCGCAGACATGGTTTCTAGCATGTCTGTTTGTCATATGTTCTATCTATGCCTGCTTCTGTTAGAAGATGCAACAGGTATGTACATAAACACAAACCATTCTCTAGCCTCTGGCTTCCTTGCCTGCTTTCGTAATACATTCTGTTTTATTCTGCTCTGCTACCTCTTCTGCTTGATCATGAGATTCCTGTCTAACCTCATCTCCTACGTTAGACAATTCTTCATCTACCATTAAGGGTTTTCTGCTTTTGTTTTCTTCCCAAGGTATAGTGTAATAATAGGGTTCTTCTTCCATTTCCCAGTGTCTACTTTCATTCAGGCAGTGCAGTGCAACAAATTGTCCTGTAGCAGAAAGATGGATCACTCTTTTCTATCTCCAGTTTTAGCAGCTGTGATTTTTATCCTTTACTTAGTGTCTGTTCGGAAGTGACTGAGAGACACTTTAAATAAGATGAATTCTTCCATTGCCTCCCTGCATTTTCACTGAGGTCAGAGTGTTAAGTGTTGCAATCAGCATTACACATATGGAAAGGTGGAAGGGACATCATAAATGGTGATTTATTCTTCATAATCTGGAATTGTCCTCTAGGTGTCTATAACATGGAATTATCTCTCTGCTAAACTATATAGTGACCCAGATCAAAAAGGTTTTCTTCTTTATCAAAATCCAAAGATTTCTGAATTTATTGCCAGAAAATCTTCATATTTTACTTGTCATAAAACCCAGAAAAGTTTAATTGATTTGCTGAAGATCACAAAGCCTTACTCCCATTTTCTACCTCTTTCAACTGAAAAAAAAAAAAAAAAAAAAAAAAATACAACTACTCAGACTAAAGACTGAGTTTATTAGCAGCAGCCATTCATTATGCCTCTAGCACATCAAATGCTCAAGCAGTTGGGAACCATCATTTGAGGTGTTCCTTATGGCTTGTCAGTGCTGACTCAAAAGCTATGGAATTAAACTTCACATAGCAGTTCTGTATTGTTCAGGGTCATTGGAACACACACTTGCCTTTTCTCGTTATGTTTCTGTGATAAAGGATAATTAAAAAAGGCTTTTTAAAGTATGTTAACAATAAAAGGAAGACTAGGGAGAATGTGGCTCCCCTACTACCCTACAGGAGGGTGTTCTGGTAACGGGGGATGCTGAGAAGGCGGAGATACTGAATGCCTGCTTTGCTTTTGTCTTCAGAGAAAAAGCTCCCCCTCAGGAATCCCAGGCCCTGGAGGTTAGTGAGAGGGTCCGGGGAATGGAAGACTTCCTTTCAGTCAGGGAAGAGGCAGTCCGAGAGCGCCTAGGCAACACCAATGTTCACAAATCTGTGGGACCCGACGGGATGCATCCATGGATGCTGAGGGAGCTGGCAGAGCTGATTGCTGAACCTCTCTCAATCATCTTTGAGCAGTCTTGGAGAATGGGGGAGGTTCCTGAAGACTGGAGGATAACCAATGTCATTCCGGTCTTCAAAGGAAGATCCAAGTAATTACAGGCCAGTCAACCTCACCTCCGTTTCTGTAAAGGTGATGGAACAGCTTGTGCTGGATGCCATCTCCAGACAACTGGAAGAAAAGGGGGTTATCAGGAGTAGTCAGCATGGGTTCATCAGGGGGAGGTCGTGCTTGACCAACCTGGTAGCCTTCTACAATGTTGTCACTGGCTGAGTGGATGGGGGGAGAGCAATGGATGTAGTTTACCTTGATTTCATCAAGGCATTTGATACTGTCCCCCACGACATCCTTATAACAAAGCTGAGGAAGTGTGGGATAGATGAGTGGAGAGTGAGGTGGGTTGAGAACTGGCTGACTGGCAGAGCACAGAGGGTCATCGTTGGCGGTGCAGAGTCCGGTTGGAGACCTGTAAATAGCGGTGTTCCTCAGGGGTCGGTGCTGGGTTCGGTCTTGCTCAACATCTTCATCAGTGACCTTGATGAAGGGATAATGGCCACCCTCATCAAGTTTGCTGATGATGCGAAGTGGGAGGATTGGCTGACACACCTGAAGGCTGTGCTGCCAATCAGCAAGACCTGAAAGACGTGACTTGCTGGTGTTTTAAACCTTTCCACAATTTCTTTTCCCATTTCTGCATTGAAGAATACCACAACAGTTAGATTAACGTAACAGTGTTAGAATTATTGGAGCTGAAATTCAGAAGTTCTACGGACATTACTATCCAATGGTTCACTCAGATTTGTCACACACCATAATTCTTTTTCTTTTTCCATGCAAATTGTCCTGCTGCAGGTCTGAAGAACCTTAAACTAAAGTACTTTTCTTCTGCTCTGAATTTCTCAACTTGCTGGGGAAAAAAAAATATAAATAAAAATAAGAAGCAAACACACACACGCACAAACACAGAAAAAAAAAGAAAACAAAAAAGCAGAAAACAAAGCAAAAAGGAAAAGAAAACAAAAAAAAACAAAACAAAACAAAAAAGAAAACAAAAAAGAAAAAATAACAAGAAAACAAACAAAAAAAGAAAACAAAAAAACCCCACGAGATAAAATAAAATAAAAAATATATTTTATTACTCTCTGTCCACGACCTTGATGATATACTCTCTAGGAAAAATCCTGGTCCTATTAAAGTCAATCACAAAATTCCTTTTTATTTCAGTGTAACAGCAATTTTGGCCTCTTAATCAACATTAGTCTCTGTCACTAATTTCAGAAAGCTCTTAACTATGATGGATGAGAATGCCAAGAGATAATGAAATCAATTTAAAGCCACACCATAGCTGCCATGTTGTATGTTGCATTTCACCAAAAATTATTCTTAATTAATGGGGTAACTTGCTGCCTTTTTTTTTTTTTTTTTTTTTTTTTTTTTTTTTTTTAACTCAATACTTAACAAACAAAGCTGAAGCTTCCATAGAATTTAGGAATTTTGGGTAGACCAGCAAAGAATGACTTGTAGATGAGGATGTGAAATTTAAGTACTTTGATTCTCTTCTTGCCTTCTTCTTGTATCCTCTGCCCATTAATATGAGAAGTTCTTTCATTATGTGCACATACTGCAGGAATATGAAGAAAACATCACACTCTCAGTGCTCTTTCCCCAGAGCAGCAAACAGGAGAATCTGAGTCACTGAACTTCCTTCTTCTCTAGATAAAGGTGCTCCAGCTACTTAATTTCTATCTAGTTTTCTCACTCTAAAATTTACTAGTTTTCTACAAAAGAAAAAGCATTAACAGAAAGAATAACCTTAAAAGCATTTGATAGAAATATGCATTCATCTGCGGTGTCTGGATTCTGGGGATTTTCTGTCTTTACTTCTTCCCATTTTTTCACCATCACTGTTCGATCCACTTCCATCCACTTTTACCTAGTTTGGAAGATTTCCACTGCTTATTAGGCCATAGTGAGCTACTTTTAAAAAACAATGTGTGTGGACCCTACGGAAAATGTCTTCGTATGTTTTGAGGCAAAAGATTATTGTATTATGTTCCCAGTGCAAATTATCGAGGGAAAAAAGACTATTCACCCACTAAAGTTGAAATGGAAAGTTTTTAAACTATTTATGGAATTTGTGGATTCATTTTGTAAAACTAATATATTGGTTCTTAAACTAAGCCCTATTTGCTAAACAAATCAACCTATATCAATCCCTCATTTTTTTCATTTTTCATTACAAACTGGCTCAGCTTTCTTTGATCTTCCAGGCACCTCTCCTGCCTTGGAAAGACCCCATTTTAAAATTTTAGTTTTCTCTCCAACCAATCTCAACCAATTAAGGGTTTTAGTGGCCCTAGTAAATACAAAAACCGATAGCGTCTACCGAATTTCAGTTTCATCTCCAGCCCTGGGGGCTTCCAGTGCTAACTCTGAGAGATCGGGTTTCCTGGATCTCTGCAGATAAGGACATTCTCTCACTTCTAGTATATTCCTCCCCATCCCACAGGTAACACTGTTTTTAAAACAGTAGTTTGCAAGATCCTTGGGCCCAGGCTCTTCATCTCTGTGAGCATTCTGTTCACGAGCCATGGGGGGCGGTGCTGGGGTTTCTCCTCACACTACTAATTTGTCTTGGCAAACTGCAACCAATCACAACAACCTAAATACACAATAATTGAAATACACTTTATACTGGACAATTGTCCCTCCCCAAATTGCTAGATAATGGAGTCCGCCGGCTCCCTCAAGGCACTATTGTACACTGAATTCCTACAAGGATAACCCATAACCAATATCCCCTAGCAAGATGGGAACTTTACTTTTTTTTTTCTTTTTTTCTTTTTTCTTTTTTTTCCCCACAGATTCCAAGTTTCCACAAATAATTTTAATCATTTCTCCAATCCATCAATTGTTACAATTTTCAACAAATTTCCTCTGCAATTTCCACAACCGACTCCACCATGTCTGGAATGTTTGGAATGTACAAATTGCCTTCACACACTGCTGCAGCTACAAAAGTAAAAAGCAAAGCTTAACAGACTGCAGATCTACCACATACACACAGCACGGAGAGACAAAAAATGAAAAGGTCAGCGCCGTTATAGTAATACTCACATACAAAATTACAATACCAGCAACCATAGTGAAACACATTTATCAATAAATGACCAATAAATGAAGCTTTCCAGTTTCCCTTTGGGGCCTTGAATCTCTCAAGTGCCAACTCACCACATTACTTTTGGGAAGATGTACAGCCTGGGTGATACTTCTCTCAAGCACTCCTCTTAATAGGGACTAGCACCCCATTTCTCTTGAGGGGCTTCTCTCAAGCACTCCCTTACTATGTTACTTCTGGCAAACATGAAACCTGTCCTGCAATACCTGGGATGTCTCCCTATTGGCATGTGAAGTACCTATTCAGGAGTAACCATTTACCTTTCCTCTCCATACATGATACAGATTACTGTCATACTTCATCAGAGGCAGTTAAAAAAAAAGGAGAGTTTTACCATGTTCAAGGGAACCTGCATCCAGACCCAACAGAGCTGGGATTAGTGGGAGCTCCTCAGTAATCACTTGAGTAATCCCATCATCTCTCAGAATATCAGATTTATCAAAACAAGTCTCATGGCCTAAATAGTCAAAGCCCAGTTCATGACACATCTCCTTTAAAAATTCACTAATTTACTCATTCTTTCAGACATTTCCCTCCCTGTAAAATCAATATATATAGGTGTTATAAATAAGAAATATACAAGAGAGTTTGGAAGAGCAGGATATTACACCAAAAATAAAAATAGATAGAGGGCCCTGAACAGGGCTCCTCTCTGGTGGAGCGACCAATGTTTCTTATGGTGCATCACTGTGATATGCTTCTGGGAATAGGATCTTCTGAAGTTCTTCTAATGATGATGAAGTCAGACTACTCCGGCAGAGGTAGGCGACCTATCACACCACTGTTTTTGCTTGGGTCACCCCTGTCTTAGGAAGGTGGGTCAGATCTTTCACCCACCCCTGAATCGGCAGAGTGGTCTTAAGTAAAACTTCAGCCATTTGAGTTATCAGCTCTACTGCCTGTAATGCAGAGTAGGCAGCCAATAGCTGTTTTTCAATCATACTGTACCTTTCTTCTGCTCCTTTGCAGACCAGAAACCTATGGGGGTCCGAACAGACCTCTGGCATTGCCACAGGCTCCAGCCAAAGCCATCCTGAGTGACGTGAACGTCCAACTCGGCTGGGAGGGTAGGAGCAAATACACCCAATGCCTGGGTTTGGTTAACTGCCAGTTTCGCCTGTTGGAAAGTGTCCTGTTCTGTTTTCCCCCAGTCCCATAGCTGGCCCTTTTTTTATTTTTATTTTTTTGAGTCTGTACAGAGATATACATTCAGTCATTTTGACCACAACTATATGGAATTTTCCAAATTTCATGTTGAGAGAAAAGTGCACCTGTGCAACATATGAAGTATGAAGATTTTACATTACCTTCCAGGATTTTTTTTGCCTGTTTTTCCTTCTTGAAGGAGATGTACATTACTAACTACTACTATTATTTAAGACCAAGGTGCTTAAGCTTCAGAAATACGTTTGTTCAATATGTATCTAGAGACAAGTCATTACTATGAAGTACGGGGTTCAACTTTATCATAGCATATTATGGTGTTGTAACTTTCTTCTGATACAGGAACACAGCAACCACTTCATTCAGCATCCTGTTAACTGGCAATAAGCCTTTGTGGCACCAAAGCAACGTGATATTCATTTTATGTTCTAGTACAAAGATTTAGGACAGATCATATTGGGGAAATAAAAAAAAATAAAAATAAAGGAAAAAAGATTTGGCCTTACCTTTTGCTCCTCAGGAAATTAAAGAAGCTTTTCAGGAAGATGAAGGATGAAAGAACTGAACCAAAGGAAATGGACACCAACCAACCAAAGGACCCTCAGCAGTGGGATCTTGACTACAGATTGGAACCTTTCACTGGGCTGACTCCAGAATACATGGAAATGAGTAAGACTTCTGAATTCCCTTTCTGCAACAATAGTTTTTTTCATAGGACCAACAAACATATATTGCATGACTGCCATGACTTTGTATGATAAAAGAAAGAACACCAAAATACTTCTGTAGCTTTTCATGGAAGATAGCAGGGGTATGAGACTACTGAATTACCAACATAGAAGCAATGATAAGTCCTAGCATCTGTTACTACTTCTGTTGTCAAGGAGTCTGGTGTTACCAGCTGGAAGTTCTATCACAGAATGGCTGTGGTTGGAAGGGACCCCCCCAGACCACATAACCCAGCTCCTGTTGACAGCTTGGTCAGCTGGAGCAGGTTTTCCAGGGCCTTGTCCAGCTTGGTTTTCAATGTTTCCAGGAATGTATATTGTACATGTTACCTGGACAACCTGTTCTAGTGTTTGATCACCCTTATACTCGACATGTTTCTGGCCCAGTCTAGACTGGGTCTGTGACTAATGGGGTGGGGAGATCCATGGGAAAAGGAATTGGGAAAATGTAGGAAGATAGGCCTAGAAACAAAACAGTGGTAACAAGCTAAAGGAGAAAATATGTTAATAAATAAGATCTGGAATGGGAGATAACACAATATAATAGGAATTGAAGCTAACAAATCAATTAAATGAGAGAGTCTGTAAAACTGAAGGTCTTTCCCCAGTGCTGAAGGCGAGATGGCAAGGGAGCACACAACACGGTGACAAGCAGAAAATTACAAAAAAGTCTCAAGACTACCAGTAACTTTTATCTTTCCCTCCAAAAGGAGAAAGAACAGTGAAGTCTTCTGGGAGCTGTAGTTCTCATCTTCTGAGACAGGTACACAGAACTGTCAAAAATCCATGGAACTGTAGCATTAACTCTTTAACTTTCAGTGCACTACATGATGTTATGCTGTGGAGTACTGATAACTAAAATCATAAAACCACGACACTACTAAAACAGTCTTTTCCTTATGTTTAACTTGAATTTCCTCTATTTTAGTTTGATCCCGTTATCTTCCTTTCTTTCACTTGGCACCTCTGAGAAGGGCCTAGCACTATCTTTTTCAATGGTCCCACCGAATATTTGAATTCATTGATGAGACCCCCAAGCCTTCTTGTGAAAGAACAGTCCCAGCTATGTAAACTTCTTGTGCATTAAATCCTTTGATCCACCAGTCATTTTAGCACCTCTTTATTGAATTCACTGCAGCATGTCAATGTCTTTCTCTACTGGGGAGCACAGAAAAGGAAACAATATTTCAAGTGTGTTCACAGTTGTGCTGAGGAGAAGGATTCCTTCTCTTGATCACCTAGCAAGGCTCTTCCTAATCATCTCACTCCAATTTATAGGTGGGAGAGGAGGTTCTTTGGGATACACATACATCCAAGGTGAGATTAAGAAACACCAGTTCAAATGTTAGTCTGATGAATCCTATGTTAGTTATTACGAATCCTAGTCATTCAAGCAGATGGGAAAGGGAAGAAGGATGATAGAAAGGATAGGAAATAGAAGCAAGGAGTCTTTGTAGGAAACAAGAGGGAGATAGTCACCACCACAGGTCCAGCATGGTTTGAAGTTCAAGTCATTGATCTTACGAACTCATCTGGTTACCGCAGGGGGATAGGAGAAAAGCCAGGAAGCTTCACAGCAAGCAGGCCCTGGGCTAGGCCAACTCCTTCTCAATAGGGCTGCTTTCTACGAGTTATTTCCCAGTCTGTGCTCATCTCTAGGACTGCCTTGACCCAAGTGCAACACCTTGCACTTTGCCTTATTGAACCTCATTAAGTTCTCGTGGGCTCACTTTTCAAATCTGTCCAGATTCTTCTGAGTGGCTTTCTTTCTATTGTACTGACTAAATTACTCAGCTTGGTGTCATCACCAAACTCGCTGAGGGTACACTCAAGCCTACAGTCTAAATCATTGATAAAGATGTTGAAGATCACCTGTTCCAAGATGGATCCCTGAGGGACACTGCATGTGACCAGCCTCCACCCAGAGGTAGAGCCACTGGCAACAACTCTCTGGCTATGACCATCCAGCCAATTCATTATCCACTGAACAGTCCACCCTTCAAATCTGTATCTTTCCAATTTAGAAGTAAAGATGTGGCGTGGCACTATGTCAGATGCTTGCACAAGTTCCAGTACAGGATGCCACTTGCTCTTCCATAGTCCAATGATGCTGTCACTCCATTATAGAAGGTCACCAGATTTGTGAGGCATGATGTGCCCTTGGTGAAGTCTTTCTGGTTGTCTCAGATCACTTCTCATCTCTCATGTGCCTTAGCATCTCTTCCAGGAGGATCTGCTCCATGATGTCCTCAGGTACAGACATTCACCAGCCTGTACTTTCCCCGGTTCTCCTTTCTCCTTTTCTTAAAAATGGGAGTGATATTTCCCTTTTTGCAGTCACTAGGGACTTCACCAGCCAACCACAACTTTTCAGATGTGATGGAGAGTGACTTGGCAACCACATCAGCCAAATCCACCAGGAAACTTGGGATGCATATCAATTGGCCCCATAGACTTGTACACATTCAGCCTCGTGAGGTGATCACAGACTTGCTCTGCTCTTTTACTGGAAGGGATTTTTTACTCCCTCAACACCCCTTTGGAAGTTCAGGAACTTCTGTTCATTTTTGTGAAAGGACACCCCCTCTGTAAGAAACTTGAACTCTGGCTGTGGATTCTCTTTGCTTTCCCTTATGAAACAATTACCCTTGAGAAGGTGCTACTTTGAGTGATGACGTTTGGAACAATTCCATGATGTGCTTTGCAGTACAAGAACAAAGAAGTTTTTGATATAAGTCTCTCACTTCTGTTTTGTAATGGCCATTTCAAACCTGCTGGGATTTTATTTTATTCTTACTTATAATATTAAGAAACCTGAGCATCTTTGGTTAGCTTTTCTTATCTATCTATCTATCTATCTATCTATCTATCTATCTATTTATTTATTGTCTACTTAAAGTAATAGAAATAATGTTTGTTTTGTTTTTTAAATCTCCCAAATTTTCATGTGGAGAAATGTGGTTCTGCTTTTGTTCTCTGGACTTTTTTTCTATCAAATTGCATTCACAGTACTCCATTTCAACAAAATTACAAGCACCACTCCACTAAAGCAAAAGGCAGTGTGATGGATAGTGGGATCACAAAAGTTGTTGCTTTTGTGATTAATCTGTTAACAGTAAACATTAAGAACAGCAAACATAGAAGAAGAATCAGAAGTTTCCGTCTTAAAGCTAGTCTATGCTCATGTGTCCCAGGAGAATTACCTTCCAGTTCATGCAGCAACATAAGGCAACTTAATGCTGCAGTAGAGAATGCTCAACTTTTTAAATGTTCTGTTGGACTTGGTTGTTTAATATCATTTTAAATTAAATCAGTCACAGGTGATCCCGTTCCTTAGGACTTCCACTTCCAGCTATCCCTAGGCCAGCATACCTCTACCACTTCAGTAGTGACCTACCACCCAAAGCCAAACGAACGTGTCTGCCTATAGAAAGGTTTCCTGTCATTTGCACTATATGTTATCAGCAGGGTGGTAACTTCTCCAGACTGTCAACTTCTCAACTTTCCTCCATGTTCAAAAAAAGACACGTTAGTTTGCTGAGAGCTCTGTCTGCTCCAGAAGGACATACTCAGAGTAGTATGGCCACTTGTCATTTTACTTTTTTAGTCAGAAAAGTGTGTATATTGAGGCTTCAGGCTAGCAGCTTGTAGCACTAGGATGTTTTGTGGCCATGAATAAAGGCTCAATCCATAGCATTAAAACAATAATTAAGTAGAGAGCTAGGGCAAATCCAGGAAAATGATTTCAAAATCTATTTCCAATTCATAAACTGAAGCACAAGTTTTCCTTAAGAATTGTGTTACAATAGGTTGGAACCACTTGACTGAAAGTCAGTAGCTGCAGTGTGGAACAAAGGCACAGGAGAAAATTCAGGACAGACAGTGAAAGGAATGATGGTCTCATGGATTCTGATTATTGCATAAAATTTATTTCAAAATTGTTATTCATGAAATTGAAACATCAAACAGAGCAAGTCCATGGAAGTCAAGAACATGACTTTGATTTAACATACAGCAAGCAAGAAATTGAGACTAAGGCACGTAGCTTTTAAAGTAGAAATCATAAATCTGAAAAACAAATAAGAAGTAAACTGCAAAGTCTGCAAGTAAATTTCCATTGCCTTCACTGGCATTTTACACATGCTAGTAGTGTGGGAGGAAGAGGCCAATGTTTAATGGCAAATAAACTCTGCTTTCCTTGGAGAATGCTCTTGTGGGTCTTTCTTCAGTACTCTGAATCTGACTTCACTCAGCTTACTGTACTGAGCTTCCTTCTTAAACAGACCTTATTAATCAATAGTAGTTTCGATTTGCACTAGTGAAATTTTTGATGATCATTTGTTTTGGTACTATTAACTGATATATATCTTTTTTAGCAGACACTCTTGAGCAGAAACTCTGAATGTTTGAGTGATCTGAAAATTTTGTGCAATGAGTCCTGAAATGTAAATTGCCACTGTTAACGTGTCAGATTTTTAATGAGTACTTTCCATTGCTGAAACTCTGAAATGACTTTTTACACAGTCCAATATATCAGACTCCCAAAGTACGCAGCATGTATAGCAATTTTCCCATTCAGCTGGCAGTAAGTTCACAAAAGCAGCCTACAATATTAGGAGCTGGCAAGAAGTTGATATTTAGAGAAGCAATAAGCATTGCTAATGAAATAACTTCAGAAAGACCTGTCCAAAACCATCTGAATGATGCTTATGAATGTGTGAAGTTTACATTGTATTGACTTTTCTCTTGAGAAGAAACTGACATTAGCAATGATTTTCAGATTCTTACTTACTCTTCTCCGGTCTCTAAGAGCCCAGGGTTTGTAAGGCAATTAAATGAAAGCATATTTTTCTCAGAGATATAATAAAGAGTTTCATCATCTGACTGCTGTTAAAAAGCAGTTGGGCAAAACTCTTTTTTGAATTCTAAGAACCAAATGAT